AATTTACTGGACTCTATAGAAGTCAAAGTGAAACAGCAGTGACTGTTACCTAGATCTGTGATTTTTAATCGTCAGTGTTAAGTAACAGATTTTACCCCAGTGATCTCTCTGTTCATGTGGCCATGATTAATCTGTCTTATTTTTATTTGGTTGATTCCATGCTAACCCAGAATAGTCTGTGTTGGATCTTGTTGGAAGGGTATGTGTACAGTAAACAGGTTGTGCCAAAGGCAAAATGACAGAATTGGATATGGGGGAGTGTGTGTGTGTAGAGGGAGCTGATGGTCTGAACATGACACATGGACATTCATTTCTCCAGAAAGTTAATTACGATCCATGATAGTCAAAATGGAGTATCAGGCAGGGTGGCAAGTAACATAAAAAGACTGAAAATGTTAAGCTTATTGTCTCAGAATTTTGGAGACCTTATTCGAGAAATCTATTGCCCCAAGCGTAAGCAGGAAAGAAAATAATCTCCAGCCCCCATGCATGAGTACAGCACTCAGTCACACTTATTCCTATTTGTCAAGCTTATAGCATGGGTCAGGTCTTCAAACACATGGTTCTGTTTCTCTTCAGAAACATAGGGATAAAAATTTGTGTTAGCAATGTCTAATATATTTGTTAGGTATTCTCCCTGGGGGGTTAGGATTTAGCAGTGAATCAGACAAAAATCTGGCTGGGTGCAGTGTCTCATGCCTATAATCCTTGCACTTTAGGAGGCCAAGTCAGAAGGAATGCTTAAGCTCAGGAATTCAAGACCAGCCTGAGCAAGGGTGAGACCCTGTCTCTACTAAAAATAGAAAAATTAGCCGGGCACAGTGGTATGCGCCTACAGTCCCAGCTACTCCCAGGAGTTTGAGGCTGCAGTGAACTAGATGATGCCATTATACTCTATCCAGCATGACGAACAGACAAGACTCTATCTCAAAAAAAAAATAATAATAAATAAAATAAAATCTTTTTATTAAAAAAAAAAAAAAGACAAAATCTGCTTTTGTAGAGCTTTTCTTCTGTCAGGGGTGGGTTTGGGAAAACATATAAGGAAAAGATATAGGCCGGGCACGGTGGCTCACGCCTGTAACCCTAGCACTCTGGAAGGCCGAGACGGGCAGATTGCTCGAGGTCAGGAGTTTGAAACCAGCCTGAGCAAGAGTGAGACCCATCTCTACTATAAATAGAAAGAAATTAATTGGCCAACTAATATATATATAGAAAAAAATTAGCCAGGCATGGTGGCACATGGCTGTAGTCCCAGCTACTTGGGAGGCTGAGGCAGCAGGATCGCTTGAGCCCAGGAGTTTGAGGTTGCTGTGAGCTAGGCTGATGCCACGGTACTCACTCTAGCCTGGGCAACAAAGTGAGACTCTGTCTCAAAAAAAAAAAGAAAAAGATATATATGTTAAGTGTTTTTCTACTATTAAAGTACTTGTTTGTTATAGGTAGTTTAGAAGATGAAAGTAAGACCAAAGAAGAAAAATGAAATTTATTATATCTTCTCTCAGGACAAACCTAATCATTGACCTGTTTATAATTCTGTAGGCATTTTTAACCAGCCCTTTTGGTTTATACTTGGTAGAAATTTCTGGCAAGAATTTAGAATAGTTTTTATTTTCTGTATATGTTACTTTGAGTTTTAAAGTTCACTTATTCCTTAGAACGAGGAAAAGATGTTTGTTTGTTAGTTTGTTTTGAGACAGAGTCTCACTATGCTGCCCGGGTTACAGTGCCATGGCCTACCTAGCTCACAGCAACCTCAAACTCTTGGGCTCAAGCAATCTTCCTGCCTCAGCCTCCCTAGTAGCTGGGACTACAGGCATGCACCACCATGCTCGGCTAATTTTTTCTATATATTTTTAGTTGGCCAATTAATTTCTTTCTATTTATAGTAGAGACGGGGTCTCACTCTTGCTCAGGCTGGTCTGGAACTCCTGACCTCGAGCAATCCACCCGCCTTGGCCTCCCAGAGTGCTAGGATTACAGGTGTGAGCCACCTCACCCAGCCGAGGAAAAGATCTTGATCTCCAGTGTTTATGACTCATTTCTTAGGCCAGGTGCAGTGGCTCACACCTATAATCCTAGCAGTGTGGGAGGCTGAGGTGGGAGAATTGCTTGAGCTCAGGAGTTGGAGAGCAGCCTGAGCCAAGAACAAGACCCTGTCTCTACCAAAAATAGAAAAAATCAGCCGGGTGTGATGGTGTATGTCTGTGGTCCCAGCTTCTTGGGAGGCTGAGGCAGGGTTGCTTGAGCCCAGGAGTTTGAGGTTGTAGTGACATATGATGGCACCATTGCACTCTTAACTGGGGCAACAGAGGAAGACTGTTTCCAAAGAAAAGACTAATTTCTTTAGTTTATATATTCCCTCTGACCTTTAACCTTCATTACAGGCAAAGAAGAGTAAAACCAAAATGCCATCTTTGGTAAAGAAGTGGCAGAGTATCCAGCGTGAGTTAGATGAAGAGGACAATTCTAGTTCCAGTGAAGAGGACCGGGAATCAACTGCACAGAAGCGAATTGAAGAGTGGAAACAGCAGCAGCTAGTTAGGTAAAAGAAAAGGGATTAGAAAAGGGTTGTTGTTGTATTAGAACAGTTATAGTCTTAAGATCACAACCCCTTCTGGGAGGCCAAGGTGGGCGGATTGCTCGAGGTCAGGAATTCGAAACCAGCCTGAGTAAGAGCCAGACCCCATCTCTACTATAAATAGAAAGAAATTAATTGGCCAGCTAATATATATAGAAGAAATTAGCCAGGCATGGTGGCGCATGCCTGTAGTTCCAGCTACTCAGGAGGCTGAGGCAGTAGGATTGCTGGAGCCCAGGAGTCTAAGGTTGCTGTGAGCTAAGCTGATGCTATGGCACTCACTCTAGCCTGGGCAACAAAGGAAGACTATCTCAAAAAAAAAAAAGATTACAACTCTTAATTTTTGCTATTCTTTATAAACTTATCTTAAAAAGTTTTTAATTCATAGAAATGTTTATTTCTCTATAAAAATCATGGTCTAGCCTTTTTTAAAAATCAGAAATATCAGTGTTGTTTACTCTTCTGCTGATTGTCTTAGGCAAAGGACTGTCAACTCTATCAGGAAAAATAGTCATCAACATTTGCCATCTAGAACCAATATTTTACAAATAATTATAAACATAAGAATAAAGAAATAGGGAGAAGGCTTCATTAGAAATTTTAGAAAGAATTTAAACAAAGCAAATCCAGATTTCTATTCCATATTGTCCTGGTTTTTAAGGCATTTATACTCAAATGGGCAATGTTCTGTGAATGCAACTAACATTTCATCAGTTGTCGGTGCATAAACCTGGAACATAACCATCTCATAAGTACTGATGCCAGATTTCAAATTCACCTCTGATAGCTTCTAGCTTAATTTACATTTATAGAAACGTCCAATGCACCCATTCTGGTAAATGCACAATAGAATTTGAGTTTTAATCTTTATAAATAAAATTGCTCAAAGAGGAGCTCAGCATTAGTTCCAGGGGTCACTGATGGCATATTCAAAGTTAAATTTACCTGCCTTGAAGAATCATAACTCCTATGGGCTAAGAAAAACTTTAATAAAAAGATGTTTTATTCTTTCAGTGTGGCTTTAATGGTTATTGGAGATATATTTATAGAAAGTAAATATACACTTACATATATACATAAACTGAGTGTGTTTGGTTGGCCTGTCAGAATTTAAAAATTTGAAGAATATACTTACATTTAGCTGATAAAAGATTTTTATAAACATAGACGTGATACATCAGGTTTTCAGTTTTAGAGGTTTTTAATTGCTAGGAAATGAACAGTTTTGCTCTTTTTCTTTCCAGTGAAGTAATCTGTATGTTGTTTTCACAGTGGCATGGCAGAGAGAAATGCTAATTTTGAAGCCCTTCCTGAGGATTGGCGAGCAAGACTGAAGAGAAGGAAAATGGCTCCAAACACATAGTTTTTTTAAATTTAGAGAAATTTTTTAATTTGTGTTCATTTCAGAGTCTTAACCAGTTTTACTGTTGTCAAATAAACTATAAATGTTATGGGGAAGACCATATAAATTTCCTAGGCGAGAACATATGCATACAGAGTTTTCACACTTGTGAAATGTAATTTTTCTGTTTTGCTTAAAGGTGAGGTGATTGGAATTGCTTTGACCTGTCTGCCTTTATTCCCACTGGCAAAATTAGCATGTTAGGTATATTAACCTCATCAATCTTGAAGAACATGTGGCACATGAGTCTGACACTTCTGTAGAGGGCTCATTGACAAAAAGTGAATAATTTTCCTGCCTGCTAGAGGTTCATTTAGTTGTAGTGTGGCACATGCTCTTAATTAACTTCTCCAAAACAAGTGCAATTCATATGGCAGCTCTGTATTTGACCTTGCTTGACTGAGATAGTCAGGATCTCTGTCTGACCTCTTCCTCTAGTCTGCTACCCCTGAAGTGCAGAGGTATGTCAAGTGGTTTACCTTGTGCTGACAGATGGCCACATTCTTTAAGTAGTTCTTTCTTTCTCACAAATTCTAGAACTGGTAGCTCAATCATTTCACACACTAGGTGGCATATTTGAATTTTAATACAAGCAGCAACAGCAGCTTGTATTATATCACTGATTTTGAGAATTTTCCCCTTGTATATGTGACAGTAAATGCAACAAATGCCACTCTGTATCAGTGTGTTTCCATTGTCTTAACCTGGTCTGAAATCACCTCCCTTTGTGTGAATGTATTCTCCATAAAATTCCAGTATTTAAAAGGCAGTTTACTGTTCTGTACTTTCTATTGTACCACAATCAGGTAAAAGTCACTTTAAACTGAAGAAAAAGCAAATTGTGTTTTAAAGCTCTTTGTATTTCTCCAGTTTCTGACCTTGTAAATTTGTATATATGCAGTAATAAAGCTTTTTTTATACTTCTGATTGGTTATCCTTTTGCTCTTCAAAGCCTGTTACCCTTGATTATGTAACCAGGACTTATTTTAAGTCAATTCTTAATTGTTTTTTTCTAATTGAATACAGTGCAAGGCATGTGCAAACCAGTTGAGGAACACCTTTCAGGAAAAGAGCCACAAGATCTTGGGCAGGGGTTTAGGGGATTGGTGGGGCGGGGTTAGAAAACAGGCCTACAGTACCAGATGGTGCTGTGTGACTTAAGTTTTTGGTTGTACTCTGTAATATTAACTATTATTTGACCTACTTAAGTCCTGGAACTGATGTAATGTGGTTAAAACAATAAAGGTGCTTTATAGCTTTTCTCTTTCCCACTTTGATTCTAAAAGTAATAGATACTTTCGGTTATCTTCGTATAAAGTTAACCAAAGACAATTTGAATTTTATTCCAGTATATTTCTATGCATCTAATTAAAATTTTTTTAAACTAATAAGTCGAAATGCGTGTGGTATTTATTTGCTAACTTTGTTTCTTGTAGTTTTGCAACGTAGAAGGTAATTTTTCCTTTCTGGCCATGGCATGGAGAAAATAAATATGAGGTGAAAGGAGAGCAGCTCCCTTAAAGCAAAGCTAAGGAACGAGCTTGGAAATACGTTGAAGACTACTGGCATTGTAGTCATCAATGCGATTTCAATCCCCAGATTGAGGCTATAACGTATGAAGGAGGAAGAATGAATCTAAATCATGTCACCCACCAAGCTTAACCTTCCTAGGGCTCCTGGCTTCCTCCTTGGGGCGGAGCCCAGCTCCCCGGAAGTCCCTGGTCGCCCCGCCCTCCCGCTTCCTGCTTGCGGTTGCTAGGCTACCCCGGCCCTCACAGAATGCGGGGACTGCAGAGCGCTGCTGCGTTTCACCTCTGGTGCACAGCCTGGCCTCTGGACCTTGCCTGCCTGACTTTCTGCCTAGCCCAGACTCCTCTGCTGCCTGCGCCCACCACTGCTGCCCGGGACAGGCTGGGGCTTGGAGGTGGTCGCACCTTTCGTCTGCCGTCTTAGGAAATCTCTGCTTCCCCTACTCCTTCGGACCTATGGGATCAAACAGCTCGGGACCCCTGAATTCCCTTTACAGGGCCCACTCTCCCGACCCCTGACCTTTATTTCCGTCTACCCACACTTCTTTCACTCTCCTGTAGCGTCCTGGTGGCGGGCGTCTCCCTTCTCCGGGAGAGGGACACATTGGACCAACAAGGGGCCTGGCGCCTTGGGAAGAAGCGGGAAGACAGCCCTCCGTGACTCCTCAGGTGCGCCTCCCAGCCTCATGGTGGGAACCACCGGGCGGGTCTTTCTTTGAGGAGAGGCTGGGATGGCAGGATTTCCTCAAGTCAAGCGAAAGCTGGAGGTGTGCGGGAAGGAGAGCGAGAGGTTTTTCACTTGTCCTGTTTTCGATTTTGTAGCGTCTCCTGTGTAATCAGCCGCTTATTTGGAAATTAGGCGGGAGTTGCAGCTGCACGCAGGTGTCACTGGTCTTCAACATACCATGCAGAAGTAACATGTTCCCAGCATTGGAAACAGAGCTAAAGCAGGAGGTCTGTACACACCCCTCTCCGAGAACTCCACAGAAATCCAATTCTAGATCAGAAGGGATATTCTGGTGGCACCTTTTTCTAGCTGGAGGTCTTGATTCCCAAGATAGAATAATGTGCATGAAGGTCTTTCACTTGGTTTATTTACAGAAGCTCTCAAGTACACCGCCCAATGCAACAATGCTCGTTGACTTTTTAAAAGTTTATTGTCATTTCAAAGGACTATTCTGATTGAGTTGGCCTTTCCTTTCACAGGCTCTTCCTGATCCTTATGAAGACTTTATGTACCATCACCTTCAGTATTATGGCTATTATAAAGGTAGTACTGCATTCTTACCTAACCACCTTTCCTGGGGTCTGGAAGTGAATTTTTCATTAACTGGGGTAATTGTGTTTGAATAGACTAATAAATAATTTTTCTAGTACCACTTGATGAAAAGTACTTTCTTTCCCTATTGATCTGCTATGTCACCTCTTGACTGAGTTACTTTGTACAAAGATCTGTTTCTGGGCTCTATTCTATTGGTCTGTCTGTCTATCCTTTCACAAATATCACCTACTTGTAATTACTACATGCTACATGGCATTAAATAGTCTTGATATCTGGAGAGGCATGTCCTCCCACTCTTTTTTTTTTTTTTTTTTTTTGAGACAGAGTCTCACTCTGTTGCCCAGGCTAGAGTGTGGTGTCAGCCTAGCTCACAGCAACCTCAAACTCCTGGGCTCAGGCGATCCTGCTGCCTCAGCCGCCTCCCAAGTAGCTGGGACTACAGGCATGTGCCACCATGCCCGGCTCATTTTTTCTAGATATTTTTAGCTATCCAAGTAATTTCTTTCTGTTTTTAGTAGAGACAGGGTCTTGCTCTTGCTCAGGCTGGTCTCGAACTCCTGAGCTCAAAGGATCCACCCGAGATCCACCCATCTCCGCCTCCCAGAGTGCTAGGGTTACAGGCGTGAGCCACCTTGGCTGGGTGTGGTGACTCAAATGCTTGTAATCCTAGCACTTTGGGAGGCCAAGGCAGGAGTTCTTGAAGCCAGGAGTTCAAGACCAGCCTGGGCAACATAACAAGACCCCATCTCTACAAAAAATTAAAAAATTAGCCAGGCATGGTGGCACATGCCTGTAGTCCCAACCACTTGGGAGGCTGAGGCAGGGGGATCCCTTTAGCCCAGGCATTGGAGGTTGCCATGAGCTATGATCACACCTCTGTACTCTAGCCCAGGCAATAGAGCAAGACCCTGTTTCGAAAAAGAGACAGAGTCTGGCTGTGTTGCCCAGGATGAACTTGAACTCCAGGGCTTAAGCGATCCTTCTGCCTCAGCCTCCCACATAACAGGGACTACAGGTGTACTCCACTACTCCTGGCCTATCCTCTTGTCTTGTTCTTCAAAAGTGCCATGACTCTTCTTGAGTCTTTGCCTTTCATATAAATTTTAAAATTGGCTTATGATGTTTAAAAAAATTATTGGAATTGCATTGAATCTATAGATGATATTTCACAAGAAATGGCAATTTTCTAACATGGGGTTCTCCAATCTATGAATATAGTACATATCTCCATTTATTTAGGTCTTCTTTAAGTGTTTCCATAAAATTTACATGTTTTCTTCACAGTAATTGTCATATTGTACTGCCTATTATGCAAGTAATCTTTTAATTGGTGAGTTTCTAATTGTGGCAGTATACGAAAAAAATGAATGTGTTTGTTCTTTTGTTTTGAGAGAAAGGTCTCACTTCGTCACCAGGCTGGATGCAGTGGTGGTGGGATATAGCTCACTGTGGCCTCCAGAGATGTCGCTGGGCTTAGTGTCGTCCTGCCTCGGCTTTGACGAAGTGCTAGAAGTTCTACGGAGTCGAGCCACTGCCTGACAAGTTTTTATACTGACTTTACTTCTATTACGCTCTGACCTTGTCCTAACTTTGTCTATTACGACGGTGGTCGTCCCTTATTGGCAGGATATTAAGATTTCCAGTGAATGCCTGAAACCACAGATAATATTAAATTCAATTACTGTCAATTAGAACAGACTTTAGTTCATGTTACACCCACAAATGTAGTTCCTTTTCTACCTTCATTACTTATCACACACTTTTGCAGTTTGAAGTGTAGCAGCCTTGCTTGCTCTGCTAGCGAGACTGTCTCAAAAAAAGGGGAGGGGAACCACTGTATTTCATTTTCTAAGTGATTAATAGTTTATTGAAAACTGAATTTCTAGTTTGCCAGATTCAGCAGATGCCCTCAGGACAAAGTGGCTTTGGGCATCAGTGCTCCCCTACCATTCTTTTTTTTTTGAGACAGAGTCTCACTTTGTTGCCCAGGCTAGAGTGAGTGCCGTGGCGTCAGCCTAGCTCACAGCAACCTCAAACTCCTGGCTCAAGCAATCCACTCTGCCCAGCCTCACGAGCACTGGGACTACAGGCATGTGCCACCATGCCTGGTTAATTTTTTCTATATGTATTAGTTGGCCAATTAATTTCTTTCTATTATAATAGAGACAGGGTCTCACTCTTGCTCAGGCTGGTTTCAAACTCTGACTTCGAGCAATCCGCCGCCTCGCCTTCCGAGTGCTAGGTTACAGGCGTGAGCACCGTGCCCGTGCCGCCTCACTCCCATTCTGATACTTGCCTTCACCTGGGTTTGGCTCTCTTGGCAGCTGTAGGAGCAGAAGGAAAGCTTCCTTCCCACCCTCTCTGAAGGTTTGCTAACTGACTAGACAGATTTATAGGAGAAAAGGCATATAACATAATATTGTTGTGGATAAGGGGATTCCCACAAATAGAAGACTCAAAAGTGCCAGATGGTTGAGTTTAAATACCTTCATCATAGGGGAGAGGAAAAGGGGCTGGTATAGGCACTTTTGAAGGGAAGTAAATTATTTTTAGGGGAAATGAATGACCCAAAGAAAATGAATAGCCTGGACAGACTTCCTCTGGGCTATGGTAGAGGTGTCAGGAAGGGGACAAAGATCTGTGTACAAAGATTGTCTTATTATGCGAATAGTCTTCTAGCTAATCTCTGCGAAGAATAGATGAAAAGTCTATCTGGGTGTAGTGGAGACTTTCAGTCTCTTCTCTAGTGGTTAACCTTTCCTGGTTATTTGATGAGATTCCTAGGGTGGAGGTCTTAGACAATTGCTTTTCTTTTGGAAAGAAGTTTCCCTATGGAAAATTCTAGAGAGAGTCCTCCTCCCTGCTCTTGGGGTAGGGGGAAACAGAAGTCAGAAAGTTCTTGTTTATAGGGCTGGACATGGTGGCTCATGCCTGTAGTCCTAGCACTCTGGGAGGCCAAGGTGGGTGGATTGCTCACGTCAGGAGTTCGAAACAGCCTGAGCAAGAGTCTCTACTAAAATAGAAGAGAAATTAATTGGCCAACTAAAATATATTAAAAAAAATGCCAGGCATGGGTGCATGCCTGTAGTCCCAACTACTCCATAGGCTGAGACAGAAGGATTACTTGAGCCCAGGAGTTTGAGGTTGCTGTGAGCTAGGCTGACGCATAGCACTCTAGCCCAGGCACAGAGTGAGACTCTGTCTCAAAAAAAAAAAAAGTCCTTGTTTATGAGGCAGCTTCTAAGGCCTTCCTATTTTAGTTCAAAGTGTTCAGTATGCAAAAGTGCCAAACTTTTGGGGTATCATTTTCTGAGCCCACACATCTCTTGCTACCAGGTCTTTCTTGTCTCCCAAGCCCTTTCTTGTTCCTCACCATGCTCGCTTCTCAAGTCTGCTCCTCTCTTGTTTCCTCAGCTGTAAATGGGATAATTATGTGTAACCAAGAGAATTGAAATGTGAAGCTCTTTGAAAAATGGCACATATTCATTGCAAAGGCCTGTGGTGGTGGTAGTGATAGCTGGTGAAGTTTTGTTTTGTGATTTGGGTAGTAAGTGTGTTTTGGTATTGACTGTCATTTAAGAAATGGTGGAGCCAGCCAATCCAGCACTTGATATATATACCACCTATATCATTTAGCTCAGAGACGGCAAGTTTACAAACTGTGCTCGCATCAGCATGTTTTGGAAAGGATAAACTTCTCATACCTAATTGATGGCTCTCTTTGGGGAAAGAGATGATATCATACCAATACCACTGCAAAAGGAGAAGCTTCTATGTGAGAATAAATCAGTATGTGTTCCTTTCCAGAACCGTCACTGCCTAATAACATACCTATGGAATTAAGAGAAGAACATGGCTAATTGGGAGAAGACCAGAAGCAGTATTGGGCCCCTGTTTCCAACATCACTGAAACTGTTCTCTCTAGATCTACTTTGGATTGTAGGTTTAAATGGAAATACTGTGCTCTCTGGATATCGCTTTCTCTAAATTGTTATGGAAATTTTGTTTAGTACTTTTTCATACTAGAGTACACAATTGATAAGATATCACACAGTTCAGGATGATATCCCTTGCTAAGGCCTTGCATAGAGTAGCGGAAAGCAACTCCAGTTAGCTTTAAACCAAAAATAATGTTTTTACAGAGACACTGGTTTCTTCTGGATGCCAGGGAGGATTGCAGTCTACATTTTCCCCTCAATATGTATCCATACGCAGGCGCGGGCAGGGTGGCTCACACGCCTGTAATCCGCCTAGCCTCTGGAGGCGGGTGGGATTGCTCAAGGGCAGGAGTTTACGAGACGCAGCCTGAGAAGGAGGGAGACCCTGTCTCTACTATACATACGAAATAACTTAATTGCTAACTAAAAATAACATATAAAAATTAGCAGGCCGTGTGGTGGTTCCCGCCTGTAATCTCAGCGCTCTGGGCAGGGAGGGGCAGATTGCGAGGTCAGGAGTTCAATACTAGCCCCTGGCACACCGATGACAGATACTAAATACTAAAAAATAAAAAGAAATATAATTGGCCACGCAATGTGTATAGAAAATATTCAGCCGGCAATGGTGGTACATCCTGTATCCAACTACTCGGAGCCTGAGGCGTAGGCATTCGGTTGAGCCCAGGAAGTTTGGGTTGTTGGAGCTAGGCTGACACCATGCAACTCACTCTGCCTGGGCAAACAAAGCAAGACTCTGTTTTCAAAAAAAAATTGTGGGCATGGTGGGCATGCTTTGGTCCACACTTGGAGGCTGAGGCACGGAGGACGCGCTTCGAACCACTGAATCTTGACGGTTTCTGTGAGCCAAGCTGATGCATGGCACTCACGCCAGCAAACGGCGAGGTGAGACTCTTGTCTCAAAAAAAAAAATATACTACTATACAACTAGCGCCCTGAGTGACCTCAATCTACCTCTTTTTCCCAACCCTCCGTGGCCCTCTTTCTCACTATTAACAGCACTCCTAATTGGTCTCCTGACTTCTCTTCCGC